TGTAATATCTTCCTTGGCAGTGAGCTGTAGGAAAAGGTGCAGGTCATCTAGCCAGGTTTCGAATTTGACCGGACGGCCCTCGGCGTCGAAAGCTAGAACAGGAGGACTAGCCATAGCGACAGCGGCAGTAGTAGAAGCAGTAAAGTCACTGAACAGGCGTGCGCAGGGTCAGCAGGGCCGGTGGGGCCTACGGACTGTAGTGGCGCACAAGCAGCAGTAGTAGGAAGTGTAGTAGTAGGATCTGCAGTGGTGCACAGGCGCAGCAGGCGGCAGCGAGAGCCGGCGCAGCAGGGGCGGGCTCAGCAGCGGTGATACGCGGGCGGCAGCGGGCGCAGCAGCGGCGGTGCGCGGGCGGCGGCGGGCTCAGCAGCGGCGGTGCGCGGGCGGCGGCGGGCTCAGCAGCGGCGGTGCGCGGGCGGCTGCGGGCTCAGCAGCGGCGGGCCGGGAGCAGTGCGGGCAGCGTGCGGGCCGGCGGCGGTCAGCGCACGAGCCGCGCAGGCTCAGCGCGGGCTGCGCGGGCTGCTCGCGGGCTGCGTAAGCGGGTCGCGGGCGGCTCGCGGGGGTTCGCGGGCAGGTCGCGGGCTGCTCGCGGGCAGTTCGCGGGCTGTGCGCGGGCTGCGCGGGCTGGTCGCGGGCTGCGCAGGCGGGTCGCGGGCTGCGCAAAGGGGCGACGCGACGGGGGGCCGTGAGAGGCCGCTAAAAAAAAATTTCGACGGGGCCGCAGGGCCGCTAGATCGTGCTAGATCGACGGGGCCAGCGGGGCCGGAAACAAGCGAAGGTAAGCAGGTAGGTAAGTCGGTGGGCCCTAAGAACAGTCCTAGCGAAGGACCTGCTCTGAAACCATGTCAGAAATAACTGAGCAGGAATGAATGAACTAGAACAGAGTTTGGTACAAGTAGGAAACCCTAACTTTGTGTACCCCCTAAGGTGTAACCCACTACAGCCTAGACAATATAAACATGCAATGTTTGACAGGCCTGGGGGGTTATGGGCGCACTCACCCGCTATATAAACAAGCCCTTTTATCCCAGTGGTTAGTGACTGGGATTCTGACACCATCCGATTTCTATATTAAAGTGATGGCGATTGGGGTCAAGAACACTTACATAAAGAACGATGGAAAGACTTCGCCAGGAAAGATGCTTCTCTTTGATGCAGCGCGTTCTGTCGCCGAGATGGTCATGTGGCCAGAGTCCACAGGATCTGGTCGATGCGACGTGCGAGCATTGAACGAGTTCTTGATGGGAATCTCCATTGGAGATGTCTATCAAGTTCGTCGTGTCAATGCTTCGCGCAAACAACCTGGCTGGTAAGTTAAGTCTGACTTGAGCATATGCATGAGTACATATAAATACGTATATTAATATATGCAATTTGTACAGGACTCTTATCGGAGGCCTTGACATGCAGCTGACCTGGCTTCATCGTTGTTCATTCCTGGTGGAAGACGATGAGGGCCTACCGCTGACTTTGGGGGACGTGCCGACTGCACCGCTCATGAACTTCTTCGAGACGAACGACGATTCCAGGGTAAGACTTATACTGCGGCTAAGTTTGGTATGTGAAAAAATGACTAAGAACGAGGAAAAGAGGAAGGACAAAAACTGTGTCATTTGATGTACCCCTTATGATGTAACTCACAAAAACACATCTAAACCAACACAAATAGTTCAACAGTTAGTATTTATTCTTTACCAAGAACGAGTTGCTTGTATTCGTGTTTATACTTTATGTGCGGTCTTCTTTAAAGTAATAAGCGCGTAGCTATATTCATGTTGGTATTGATCATGATTTTACACAAGTGGTTCATTTGCTGTTCTCAACCCTAACGCTTAATACCATATACGTATGATCCGTTTCATCAGTTGTAGTTTATGTTCTTACATGAAATATTATTATTTGGCATACCAACAGTTACGTTATTGTTTAATGATGTTCTCCTTTATATTTTCATAATATTCGTAATCATCTTAATGACATTTTGCTCCTCTATATTACCAGATCCCCTGCGTTTCTGTCAGACTCAAAGCCCCAACATACGAGGAGCCAAGTGGATTGCCCAAGCTTACAGCGAGCATCCACGATTCCTCCCTTGAGAGTGTCCTGGTAGCGTTGGGGGACGCTGCCACACGGATCGAAAAGTGCTGTAAGACATACATGGATGGACATCCGGATGCTACGGACGTGCCTGTCTACATTAGCAATGTCTATCTAAAGTCGGCATTGTTCACGACAACAATGCTCTCGGATGTTGCCATTCTTGACGCTCGACGAGCGTCGGAGATCACAGATGCTCCCGACACAGCGGATCCGCAAGACGTCGGGCTCGTGCAGCTGTAAGTATACATAGCTTATTTGAACAATTTCTAAGTGAGATGATCGAAATTAATTCTTCCGTTGCTTGTATTCAGGATGAGCAATGTTGACACAGTCGTGATGACAACAAAGAAAGAGAAGATAGCGTCTCTCGTAGCTGAGATCAAGGATCCTTTGCACACCTCGCGCACGGTGTGCAAGGGTGGACCGGGAGGTTTCTGCCCACTGACTGTTTACAGATCTTGTCGTACACGCGAGCATTCGTGCTCGAGGCATGGATCCGCATCGATCACCCGGATCGATAACACCACTGTGACACTTGTCGTACACGAGAGCGGTAAGTACTGTACTTGTATGTTTTTGTGTACAGTGTTGGACGTTTTGTCAAAGCATTTAATATTGTGTTGCTTTGCTCAAAAATCTCAGTGTCATTCAAGAACCATGCCCACGGCTTGGTGGTTCAACCAAGCATCTTGACAAAAGTAATCCCGCAGCTCCAGATGTCTACATTTCTTTCCTTGCCCTCGGATCAGCGCCAAAGCCTGCTGGATGCTCTTCAAGGCTGATGGCTCGTAAAGGTATGACGTTATTTTTATTTAGGCAATGTCAATGTATACAGTATTGTGTAATCATTTATACTCTTTCCCCCTTCGGGTTCATTTTGGTCTTGAGGGGGGGCGCATCCACAAGACCATTGTTGACATCTCGAGCGTCCCGAAGTCAAATGTCGACACTGTCAACTTTGATACGTCGAGCACCCAACCAACGTCCACACCGACAAAGAGGAGGTTTGAGGTGCGTGAAATGGTAGTATTCTCTTGATGTTTTACTTTGTTAGACAATGTCGGTATTATGTAACTTACTATTGTTGTTCCATTGATTTGTTTTTTCATTATTTAATTTCTTGCAGCAACGGTGAAGATAGAAACGCTTGAAGTTGGTTACGAATCACACGCCTTACTTCTGGGTCCTTTTGAGACAATTTAGTTGAAGAAATATGGGTGGGAGATAAAGTAGACAATGCCATATAGATTTTGTTCTTATCATGGTTTTATTTGTCGACTTCAAATGATTGCGTGACTGATTATCTTTGTGTGAGTAAGTATGTTTGGTGTGTGCGTTTGTAAGTGTGTGTCTGTATATGTATGTACCAGTATGTATGTATGTACGTATGTATGTATATACGTATGTATCTATGTGTGTATTTGCTTTTGTATCTGTGTGTATAATTGTCCATTGCAATAGCAATGCATGTCTGTGATTTCTTAAAAAAAGGCTCAGGTCTATCATTTCACAAAAGGTTCATTGGCGCACTCAGTGACTCGTGTGCGACCACTTCGAACTGGATTTGATAGAGTTGACCTTTTTTTAAGACTTTACAGATTGCGTTGTTTCATGTGGTAGTTGATTATTCAATAATTAATCTATTGACCTCCCCCCCATGCTAGGCAGGGGATGGCGGTAGCTTAGATTTTGGGTTATTAACTGTCACGCATTTTATCGTGTGCATGTGCTGTCAGAGGTCCACTGGAGATCCCCGATGATCCTAGGGAAGGGTTACAGGCATGTTGGCCTGGGGGGTTATGGGCGCACTCACCCGCTACACAAACAAGCCCTTTTATCCCAATGGTTAGTGGTTGGGATTCTGACATGGTATCAGAGCGAAGGTCTCGGGTTCGAATCCCGGTGTGTGCACCTCGGGCATCCCAGTGCGGGGGGGTGTCAGAGGTCCACTGGAGATCCCCGATGATCCTAGGGAAGGGTTACAGGCATGTTGGCCTGGGGGGTTATGGGCGCACTCACCCGCTACACAAACAAGCCCTTTTATCCCAGTGGTTAGTGACTGGGATTCTAACATGTGCATTATTCATAACATATTACATTAAGCATTATAGATTGTATAGCATCATCTATGCATTATGCATGCATCTATTTATGCACAACAGCATCTAACAATAAAACATAACGTAAACAGTACAGCAAATGTGCACTAAACAACTGCAAAATACTCATATGGTTTAATGCACTATGAACAGTGCTGTGTTCAGAACACCACAACATGCATTCAATATGGGAAGGGTATTACTGTAGTTTACAAGTTTTATTTTCATGATTAAAAAACATAAACATGAAAATAAAATTTGGCAAAATCGATCGTAAAGGGTTGCTTCGCAACCCAAAAATGCTCACATCCAAGTGACGTTCACAAGATGCTGTACTCGTTACAGTGACACTAACTGTTGACCAAGGAAAACAGCTCCTTAGTGTAGGTAAGTTCCTAAGCAGATCATGCACTGGTCCACAAGCCCATAGTATGGTATGACCAACGATCTGATGGAAAAGTCCTCCTGATGCAGACTTTGAACCTGGCATGCCTGGTTTATTAGGTTGGGGGGAAGTCATTTTTGCGCATGGGGCGATTCACTGGTAAACCAGCAATGCGTTGTGCAAGGGGCCTTTTCTCCAATCCAAAGCATATAGTGTGGCTATAGGAAATCATAATTACTGAAGTGCACCACGAGCCATTTGTGGAACAACACTTATTTCTCCATAAGGGGAAATGCAATGGTCAGATACTGACTTGTAACATACAAACCCCAGCACAAGTTGAACACCTAAAGCACACCCACAGAAAATGAGATTCTGCCAGGATAAATCGCTCCAACATCGCTCATCCTGCCTTTTCACAAAGCTGTGTCCCCAGTCGACTGTTGCAACTTCACGAGCGAATGATACGCCGAGCTGGGGTTGGCGAACAGCACATCATGTGTTCCCTTCTCCACAATCTTCCCGCCTTGCACGACTGCAATGATATCAGCGTTGCGAATCGTGCTCAGGCGATGCGCGATCACAACCGTCGTTCGGCCGACCATCAGACGATCCAGAGCATCCTGCACCACGCGCTCTGACTCAGCATCCAGAGCTGACGTGGCCTCATCCAATAGGAGGATGGCTGGGTTCTTGAGCACAGCTCGGGCAATGGCAATGCGCTGCTTCTGGCCTCCTGAGAGCTGGGTACCCCTCTCTCCCACCTGCAGTCATGGTATGGATAGAATAGGCAGATTAGTGGAAGACACAACGATCAAAAGGAAGGGACGAATAAGTGCAACGGAATAGGGAACAAAAAAAAAAAAGAGGAAAGGCAGGCAAACAGAGGCTAGGTTCCTTCTCTCCCCTCCTCCTCTCACCCTTCTGCTCCCCACCCTACCCATCTCTACCCCACCAAACACTTACATCCATTTCCCTGCTCCCTGACCCCCTGCCCCGCTACCCCCTGCCCTTCCGCCCCCTTCGCTGCCCCTCCCTCTTCCTGCACTGCCCCTCTGTGACCCCATCTCTCCCATGCACATGAGCCCTCACCTCAGTGTCATAGCCATTGGGCAGGCTGCTGATGAACGCATGCGTGTTTCGCAGCCTTGGCTGCCTCCACAATCCCCCCCCCCCCTCCCCCTCAATGCCCCCCCCTCAATGCCCCCCTCCCGCCCATTCAGACTGCTTATTTTTTAGGCACCTGATAAAAAACACTCACCTCTGTGTCATATCCATTGGGCAGGCTGCTGATGAACGTGTGGGCATTCGCAGCCTTGGCAGCCTCCACAATCTCCGCCTCAGTCGCACCCTCGCGCCCATACAGAATGTTCTCCCGGATCGACACCGCAAACAGCGCCGGCTCCTGGCTCACCAGCCCCACAAACGACCGCAGCGACCGCAGGTGCAGGCTCTTCACATCCTTGCCGTCCACAAGAACCTTCCCTGCTAGCGGGTCGTAGAATCGCTCTATAAGGGAGATGACGGAGCTCTTGCCGCTGCCTGACGGGCCCACCAGGGCCACAGTCTTCCCCGCAGGGACCTTGAGGGAGAAATCATCAAACAGAACGACGTCTGGGCGGGTGGGGTACGCGAATCGCACGTGCTTCAGCTCGATCTCCCCCTTCACCGACTCCACCACCTCAGCCGTCGGATCGTCCGGCACGATCTTGGTCCGACGGTCCAGAACAGCAAAGAACGACTTGATGGCGTAGCCGCCCTTGGCAAGGTCCGGAGCGAGAGTAAGCGTCTCGGCAATGGCGAAACTGGACATAATCAGCACCATAAACACCTTGAACACATCGTCAAACGTGCCGTTGTGCTGCTCCACCAGCTGCCCTCCGTACCACAGCCCCAGCCCAAACGACGCGTACATGATAAACTGCGACCCGCCAAAGGCAATCCCCGACACCTGCCCGCGCTGCAGCGACCGCTTCAGCGGAGGCTCCAGCTGCTTCTTGAACAGACTCAGCACCTTATCCTCCAGGGAGAGAGCCGCCACAGTGCGGATATTCCCCACGGCCTCCGCTGCGACGTTACTGGCGCTCTCGTGCGCCGCCTTGAGGTCCCCAGCGAAGCCTTTCAGGAAGGCCTGCTGGGCTCCTGCGGACGCGACGAGCAGCGGGAAGGTGGCGATGATGACGAGGGCCATGCGCCAGCTGAGCACAAACGCGATCCCAAACGCCACGATGATGAGCGAGGAGTTCTGCGTGATGACCGAGATGCGGTCGCCGATGGCCCCGCGCACGAGCGTGGCGTCGGAGGAGAGCCGCGCGGCGACGGCGCCGCTGTTGTTCTTGTCCTGGTCGAACCAGCCGATCTCGTTGCGCAGGATGGAGGTGAGCATGAGCTCTCGCACGCGCTTGGTGAGCTTCTCGCTGACCACTCCGAAGTTGTAGTGCTGGAGGGTGTAGACGAGGAAGGAGACGGCGCCCAGGCACACGAAGACGATCGCCCACTTGTTGACTTCGGACTGCATCTGGTCCACTGGCTTGTAGTATGCCGTGATCACCTGATGGGGGTGCGGGGGAAAAGGGAGGGAGAGTGAGGGGGTAGTGAGCGAGGGGGAAGTGAGCGAGATGGGGTGAGGTCCCACAGGAGGGAGGGTGATATATAGGCAAGGGGCGGAAGACGTTAAGATGGAAGACGGGGGAAACAAGGGCTAGGTGAATAGGCAGGCTGGACAGGCAGAAAAGAAAGAACAGAATTGGCAAACATCATGAAGTTTAAGAACAGTTTTAGCAAACAGCTAATGGACAGATTATAGACATGAGGATCACTCACAGTGGTGAGGAAGAGGCCAAAGATAGGGTTGATGGAGCCGGCAAGAGCCGAGCCAACAACAGCCAGAGCGGTGTAGGGCCAGTCGGGGAGCGTGAGCTTGAAGAGGCGCCACCAGGACCCCCGGCTCTTGGCCTCGCCCTTGTCCTCCTCGTCCCCCTCCTCGTCCCCCACCGACCTGCCCCCATCTGACAGAGATGACTGCTGCAACTCAATGCTGCGCCGCCTGTTGCATGCAAGGGTGCGGGGAAGATAGCGGGATGGGAGAAGGGGGAAATGGGGAGGGAGGAAGGGAGGGGGGAGATAAGAAGAGGGGTGGGTGTGGCTATGGCTGTTATGGGGCTGCCATGCTGTTATAGAAGTTATGGTGGTTCATGGGAGCGGGGGGTGTGAGAGCTGTGCTGTGCAGCCCTTGAAAGAGCAGGTATGCACCCATCTGGCAGCTGCCAGCCACTCAGCACCCAACACACAACAACAGTGCGGAAACATCCTAGTTGCATCACACGCAGAAGCGGCAGAACCAAAACCATCCTTCCATCCGACAGCCACCCAACCCACCCCACAGCCACCCAACCCACCCCACAGCCACCCAACCCACCCAGCCTCACACAGCGCCTAGCCTCACACAACCACCTACCCACTCCCACACAACCCCACCCCCACACCCAACATACCGGGACGACGCCCCTGCTCCTCCGTCAAGCTCCTCTGCACTGACCACCGCCTTGAGCTGCAGCTTCACCAGCGCAGCATACTCGCCCTCCTTCGCCATCAGCACATCATGCGTGCCCTGCTCCACCAACCGCCCCTTGGTCACCACCGCAATCGAATCCGCCCCTCGGATCGTCGACAGGCGGTGCGCAATCACCACAGTAGTCCGCCCACCCATGATCCCATCCAGAGCAGTCTGCACGACCTTTTCTGATTCTGCGTCCAGTGCTGAGGTGGCTTCGTCTAGGAGGAGAATCGTGGGGTTGCGAAGGATGGCGCGCGCGATCGCGATTCTTTGCTTCTGCCCGCCCGACATCTGCACGCCCCGCTCCCCGACCTGCGTGTCGTACCCCTCGGGCAGCCCGGAAATAAACCCGTGCGCGTTAGCCGCCTTTGCTGCCGCCTCCACCTCTTCCATAGTCACACCATCCTTCCCATACATGATATTCTCCTTGATACTCGTCGCAAACAGCGCCGGCTCCTGGCTCACCAGCCCAATCTGATCCCTCAGCCACTTCAGCTGCAGGGAGCGAATATCTCTCCCGTCCAGATACACCGCACCTGCGAGCGGGTCATAAAACCTCTCCACCAGCGCCACCACCGTGCTCTTCCCACTCCCAGACGACCCGACAATCGCCACCGTCGTCCCCGCAGCGATCGTCAGCGAAAAGTCCTCGAAAATGGTCACGTCCGGGCGAGCGGGGTAGGCGAAGCGCACGTTGCGGAGCTCAATGTCGCCCTTGACCTTGTCGGGGACCTCCCCCGTGGTGTCGTCCACGTCGATGGCTGACTTGCGCAGGATGGTCTGGAAGATGGTGTACGCTGCTGCCTGGCCCTTGGCGAAGGCGGTTACATTCGGCATCGCCTGGCCCAGGGAGCTGTAGGGGGGGGGCAGGACGGGGGCATGACGGGGAGAGGGGGTGTGGGGAAGATCAGTGCAGGGGGAGACGGGGAGATGGTTAGATGGTGTATGCTGCTGCCTGGCCCTTGGCAAACGCCGTCACGTTCGGCATCGCCTGGCCCAGGGAGCTGTAGGGAGGATGGATATGGGGCGCATGCAAGGGGGAGGGGATGTGAGGAAGATGATTAGCAAGGAAACGAGCGATCACTACAATGATGGTCAGGCTTGAGGAGCGCAAGATTCGACTGGCCAAGGGAGCAGATTGGATAGAGCAGCAGATTGGGTAGGAAAGGTGATAGTCAAGGGAGCGGATGGGTCAGGGATGCACTCACAGGCCGCCAATGAGCACGGAGAACATGGTGGTGAGCGCCTTGCCACCAGTCGCCTTCCCCTCCGCCACAAGCTTCGAGGCGAACCAGAACTGCAGCGCCCACGCGCAGAACATCACGCCAAACACGCCGCCCATGCCCATGCCCTTGGACAGCCCGCCCTTGATGCCCAGATGCAGCGTCGCTTCCAACGCCTCCATGTACTGCTTGATCGTCTTCTCCTCCGCTACAAACGAGTACACCGTGCGGACCTGCCCAATCGCTTGCTCCGCGACAGCGCCGGCCTTCGCGTACGCCTCCTGGCCTTTGGAGGTGAGGCCGGTGAGGACTATGGCGTAGATGGCGCCGCAGAAGGCGATGAGCGGGACGACGGCGAGGATGACGAGCGTGAGCTGCCACACGCTGGAGAAGCCAATGATGAACCCCGTCACGAACGTCGCCATGAAGTGCATGAAGTTGCCCACCTGCCGGGGGGACGGTTGGGGGGGAAAGAGGAGGAAACGGGAGAGGCGGGAAACGGGGAGAAAAAGATGGACAGGGGTGGATTGGGTGGGAGGGGAGGGGAGGGGAGGGAGAAGAGGAAAGGGACGATAGAGTGAATTGGGAACACAGGGAGTGGAGTGCTGGAGAGGGAAGGCGGGAAACGGAGTTACTACTTTCATTTCGTTCTGCTGATTTCCAAAGAGCCTAGACTTATTGCTTGAGACACCAGCTTAACCAAACGTACCGTTTCGTTCCTTGCCGTTCTTTTCCGACCCGTTCGCAACTCACAGTGCATAATTCCGCCCCCCAATACCTACAACTCCCCGTTCTCCACAAACCCCTCGCCCAAACCTACCCATACTCCCCCCAGCCTCCCCTAGGATCCCCCGTCTCCCCCTCTCAACCATCCCACTCAATCCGCGCTGCGCACCTTCTCGGAAATGGCGTCCTGCACGAGCAGCACGTCGCCCGAGACGTTGCTGACGATCTGACCGGAGCTCGACTCGACTCCGCGTCGAAGAACCCGATCTCCTGCTTCAGAACGTGTTTCAGTCGCACCTTCTCAAAGATAGACGCACCTTCTCGGAGATGGCGTCCTGCACGAGCAGCACGTCGCCCGAGACGTTGCTGACGATCTGCCCCGAGCTGGACTCCGTGTCGAAGAATCCGATCTCCTGCTTCAGAATCGCCGCCAGGTACCGCTCGCGGATGCGCGCCGATTGCCGCTCGCCCGTGTGCATCCAGCACGACACCTCTGCACGTGGCGCGCGTGCGCGCGGACGGACGGACGGACGGACGGACGACGACAAAAGAAGAATAGGAAAGGGACGGCACGGCACGGACGGATGGTTGAGGTTGGAGGACGGAGTGGGGGACGAGGTGGAGAGTTGAAAGGAGTGAAGTGTACAGTGGGAGGAGTGCAGAGGGATTCGGAAAAAGGGATCGGAACATAGGAACGTTCAAGCAAGCTAGAGGGAGGAGAAAGTAAGATCGAAACACTTCGCGGTTGAGGTGAGAGCGACAAGGCGGGGAGCGAGAATGGTGGGATTGTTATGAACCAATCCAGGGCGACGTACCAAGCCAGGCTCCGAACCAGACGATTATTCCCAAATAGACCAGGTATGAAGAGTACTGCAGAATAAAAAAAAGCAAGAAAAACGGAGAAAGCAAACGCGTGTTAAAATACGCAGCTGATGACGCGACGCAACACATGCTACAATGAACATTGAACAAAGATATGAAAACGTCCGACAAAGTACAACCAAAAAAAAAAAAAGGCTTACTTTGCTGACGCCTCCAATGTCGTTGGTTCCCATCGAGTCGATGAGCTCTCCGAAAAAGAGGAAGAAGACAGGAAGCGCGGCGCCGTGCACGCACGCTCCGATGGACCCGATGGCGATTAACAGGTAATCCATGGGGTCGGCGTAAGAGAAGAGCTTGTAGAACGCGACGGAGGGAGGAGGAGGTTTCTTCTCGTTCCCTTCCTTGGCATCCTTGGTGGTTTCTTCGTTTTTGGTGGTAGACTCGCTGTCCTTCCGACCCTCGCCATTTTCTGAGAGGAGATTAAAAATACGGAGACAAATAAAATACTACGCAAGCGACGAAGGAACTGCAAGCTAATGACAGCACGTGTCTGCTAATATTAAGTTGCCTGACGCGATGTTGAAACGAAGCGCGCGCGCTTCCTAGACATCGGACTAACACCGGAGGTTGATTATACCTTGCAAAGCTCCCTGGAGTGGATCGGTAGGCGCTGGTCCTTCTCCCATGGCGACGAGACGTCAGCGCCGCAAAAAATGATGGTGCTGGATCAAAAGTTGGATATGGGACACCAGACCGAAAGAAGAAAGCGCCGACGGACTGAACCTAGGTCACAGGCTGGGCGGTCCAAGCGCAATGCCCCAGTCAAATGGGCTTCAGAAGTTCCTCCTGTGCCGCTTGTTGCGACAGTCTTGTGACACTCGTATTCTGAAGTGAGAGCAGGGATTTGTACGTAATGGTGGTGGTGCTTGCTGCCAGCCAACCAACCCCTCTTCTTGCTGCTGAGTCGTCACTGAGACTGTCTGGTATTCTGTTCTCTACTGTTGGCCTCTTGGCCTGGTTCCACTTGGCCTCCCCTGCTGGCCTGATGGAGCTGAGGTGAGGTGGTGGTGGTGGTGGTGAGGTGACACACACGGGTTCCCTGAATGTGACTTGTACAGACCGCGGTGATTCGTGCGAGAGCACAGCAGAAAGGGCTACGATGACGATTGATCTCTCCCCTTCGCTCACCTCGCTTTATGCAGCACGGACGATGCAGATCAGTTTGCGTCCCCGCGCGGGGATTGCCGCGGAGTGGCTGATCCCGCTCCGCAGCGCCCACTCAGATGACACTTGGCAGGCAGCGCGGCTGATTCCACGCGTCACTTGCGAACACCACAGGCGGAGATGTTGGGGAGGGCTGCAGAAGTGATTGGTTGGAGGGTCCGCTAACCGAAAGGTCCCGCGTTCCCTCGTTCAGGGAGGTTCGGGCTCACCCGAACCAAGCTTTTGCGGCTTGGGATGGACAGCGATTGGAAGTTTGGGGAAATAGTGACGCCACGCAAAGGCATGGAGGGCGGGCGGAAGTGTCGACGATCTCATCCCCGTGATTTTCCTGCTCGACAGGAAAGGAAAAGAGTTGAGTAAACCCCTCACGAAACGTCATCAACGTGCCATTTTTGCTGTTTTCGGTTTGATTGGAAACACTTTTCCCCACCTTTACCTAAAACCCCCTATTTTTTCGGGTTGATGACGTAATCTAAACAGTACCATAGTTTCCCAGTAACTTCAGGAACTACCTGTCTGGTTGATGCCATCTCAGCCAAACCACGTCAGATGTCGTACCATCTGGTCGAAGCATCTACACTTCCACCACATTCAAACAATGTACAGCATCAATTTTGTATAAATATCTTATGTCGCTTCACACTGCATACTGCGTACAGCACTTATTCCCGCCAAGCACCTGAACAGTATACCACCTCTCAACATCCGCCCCGACACTCTTCTCGTCATCACCCAGCTCGGCTGGTGGTATCCCCTGGCCCGGCCCTACGCTTCGACCTTCCCAACCTCGGCACTAGGCCCGTAAGGCATCCTGTTCATTTGCCTTTGCTCATTGTACTGGTTCCGAAATTGTGACTGCTTCTTATTGGATGAGCTATAAAATGCAATCTATAGTCAAGCCATAACATAGTACATGGATGGACATAGGCACATTGTGCACTATAAATGGAATATGGTAGAACAAGACATCTATGCAAGGGAATTGAAAAACAGAGCAAGCAGGAGCAGAAAAAGTGTGCAAAGGAGTTCAGAAGGAGAATAAGCCCCTGCAAGTGAGTAAAGGACAGGTTGAAACGCACGTATCGAATTCTGAGTAAACCAGCAAAGATATGGGCTGAAAGAGCATGTGAGGATGAGACAACAAAAACACGAATGGACACAGCAAGCCTCTCTCTACCCCCGTTTCCCTGCTCCCTCTTCCCCCTCTTTCCTCCCTCTGTCTCTCCCTCTCTCTCTCCCTCCCTCCCTCCATCCCATTCTCCCCCCTCCACTCCCCCCCACCCCTCTTTCCTTTCCCTCCCCCTTCCATCCCCTCCTCCCGCAAATGCAACGCGGCCATCCAGCAACCAGAAAAAGGAACCAAAGCACCCAGCAACCAGCAACGCTGTCGCAACACAACCAGCAACCTCCACCCAACCCCAGCGCCTCTCTTCCCCCCCTTGACGCACCCTTGGACCGGGGTTCTGGGACGGTGAATACGAGAGGAGGGGGCGGGGGTGGGGCTGCGATGGGCGTGAGTGTGGTGCCTGTCAGGACGTGCATGGGAGAGAGAACGTGCATGGGAGGGCAGGCATGCATGGGAGGGAGGGCGTGCATGGGAGGGAAGGCATGGATGAAAAAGAGGGCATGATTGGGAGAGAAAGCATGCATGGGAGGGAGGGCATGCACGCTGGCCAAAGGGTGTTTGATGCAATACGGAAGGAGGGAAGGTGAATGGAAGGTGAATGTAAGGCAGGCAGAATGACGGTTAGACATAAAGACAAACTGGCACCCACCAGAAGAGGCAAGGCTGCTAGGGAATACAAAAGAGGCAGTGAGGGACAGGCGTGCAAGAATGGTGATGGTTATGAGTGGACAAGGCATGGGTGTGTGTGGTGGATGGAGGAGCAGGCCGATGGTAATAGACATGGTATTAGACATGGTATTAGCTGATTAGACATGGTGATTAGATTTGATTGATTAAACATGGTGGAGTGGATGGAGGGGAATATGAAAGGCGGTTCAAAAGGTGAAAAAGCGACTGATGGTTTTGACCGTTTTGACTGGACACACCACAGGGCATCCCAACCATGCCATGCCATGCCCTGCCATGCCATGCCATGCCATGCCACATGAGTTAGTGGATGCATGGATGGACACAGAGAGAGTTTCAGACCACACAGGGAGATGGTGCTCAGATGCATGGGTCGAACAAGGGCACTAAGCGGCAATGTGCATGGAGGGGCAGAGAAGGAGAGTGCGTGGGAGGGGGCGAGGGAGAGTGATAGGGAGAGGAAGTGGGATAGGGATAGGGATAGGGAGAGCGGAGCAGCATACAGTTCATGGATTGGAAGGAGAAGAGCTTCCTGGTGTAGTCAAACGTAAGGAACTGGTCCCGAATCCACATGGCTGCTCGCACGATGGGTGGGGCGAGGAGTTGGGCAGAGCAGTAGGGTAGAAGAACGGGGAGATGAGTTGGGGAGAGGAACGGGGCGATGCATTGTGGAGGGGGGCGAGAGGGAAACAAGGACCTGGAGAAGAGGGCACAGGTGAAGGACACGATCCCGTTTAGTGGTAGACGTGAGGAGGTCACGTGTAAGCACGGAAAGAAGGTTGTGTGGACGCACAGTGCGCTCTGGTGCTTCTCCGTAGAGTCTGTACCTCGCCGTGCCCTGCCTTTTCAGCTCGCCTCACCTCTCCACTCCAGCTCGCCTCACCTCTCTACTCCAGCTCGCCTTCCCACATTTACAAGGTGACTGTTGAGTCGACTCAAAAGCCACTCCAGCTCGCCTTGCCACATACACATCTCCGCCTCCTTCCACACCTTCCAGCCCGCTTGTTCATCCTCCCACGCTCCCCCAACAATCTCCTCAACCCTACCCACCTTCCCCTTCCCTGCTCCACCTTCCCCTTCACCCTGTTTCACCCCTCTTCCCACCCCAGCTCACTTTCCAAGAATGCAGGCGCAGTGCCATTGCTTCTGAGAACTATCAAGGATTGGAGCCGCGTGTGACAAGGAAATTGGGGAATCACTTTTGAGAATTCAAAGAAACCATTGCATCTGAGAACTCCGAGGGATCACAGTCGCATGTGTCAACTCCTGAAAAGATCTCAAGACCACACTCATTGCCCAGAACACGCGGACATGCAGAGGCACGCAGAGGCATACAGAGGCACGCAGAGGCACAGCAGCAAAACATTCCCACCTTTGCACTTCCCGCCCCCAGCTGGGGGTTCAGTGCCCGAACTTACTTCCGAGGAAGGCGGACTGAGTGGCATTGGCATCCAGCGGCACAGCTGCGAAGCACTGCGCTGTCTCGTTCACCTGCATGCACACACACGCACGCACGCACGCACGCACGCACGCACACGCACACGCACACGCACACGCACACACACACACACACGCGCACACACACACACACACACACACACACACACACACACACACACACACACATGGGGGGAAGGTGGGAAGGTGGAGGATATCAAAACATAGACGTCTCACCCACTGTGAAGGAATACAAATGCAATAGCGCAATGCAGAGAGACACACCCAAGCGCTCCAGAGCAGGGGACAGGACCAGGACCAGGATCAGGATCAGAAGACAACCCACACAAGGACAGGTGGGGTGGCACAGCATCGACAGAGCACTGAGGCTACTTGGAAAACAAGTCTAGGAGAGGGAAGGGGAAAGGAGAGGGAAGGGGAAGAGGGGGTGTCTGGGGGGAAGAAGGAGAGGGGCAGGAGAGCTCAGAAGGAGTGGGGGAGGGTGAAGGGTGAGGGGAGGGAGAGGGGGAACGCGGGTTATGGGTGGGGGCTTTTGAGGGCGCCTCAAAAGGTGAGGGGAGGGAGAGGGGGAACGCGGCGCAAGGGTGGGGACCCATGGGTGGGGGCGCGGAAAGCATACCACCATGTAGTTCTGTGGCAGCACTGTGAGGCTGCCCTCAGCAAAGTCTATGAGGATGGGCGGGAAGTACACCTTCTTCGCCCTGTGGTGCCATGCGGTGCAGTGCAGTGCGGTGCAGTGCAGTGCAGTGCAGTGCAGTGCAGTGCAGCGCCCCGCATGCGATGCCCATGTGGTATGGTGGATGGTGGGAGGTGCATGGGTGGTGGTGGGTGGAACACGGTTGGATTTGGGGGTGGGTGGCGCGTGGTGGGTGTGTGGATGGGTGCTTGCATGGAGGGTAGAGGTAGGGTGGGTGTCAGCAGTGGCAATGGGAGGGTAGAGAGTGGAGAGGGAGGAGTGAGGGGGTGGGGGAGAGCATTGAGTCGATTCATAAGGATAGTGGGAGGGTGGAGAGTGGAGAGGGAGGAGTGAGGAGGTGGGGTGAATGAGAGTGGATAGGAGAGGTCGTGCATGAGGCATGGAGAGGAGAGAGGGAGGGGTATGTGTGCCACACAAGGGAAGGGAGGAGGGAGAGGAAAGGGCACGGCAAGGCAGTGAAAAGCCTAAAACGGTGCAAAACGACGTATGTGCATGAGAGCCAGGGTGGAATGGGGGAGAGGGGGAAACGGTGGGGGGAATGAAGGGGGAGAATGAAGGGGGAGAATGAAGGGGGAGAATGAAGGGGGAGAATGAAGGGGGGACACGGCGGGGGGAATGAAGGGGGAAATGGAGGGCGATACTTACGCCTCGTCGTTAACAACGCAAGCCTTGTCCTCGGAGCCAGTCCGGGTGAGGGAGGGATCCGCGAACAGCTGGTCACACACACATCCGCACCGCACGCATGCACACACACACACACACACACACCCCCCCTCCCCACACACACACATGTGCACACGAATGCGTGCAGGCACACGCACATGCACACACACACGCACACGCACATGCATCCGGGAAAGCAGTTGTAGATACGAAAATTGGCACAACCACATGAATTCGCACGCACCCACAGATCCACCCAACCAAGCAAGTAAAGGCTGTGGTTTCAAGTGACAAAATACGAGCAAGACAAGCAACGCATGGGTATGGGATGGATGTACGGCAGTACAAGCTAAGAACAACGTAGCGCCTCCTGAACAACGTAGCACCTCCTGAATAAGGCCTCTCTCTCGTTTCTTTCCCCTCTCCCCCGACAAATGCCCTCTCACTACAGCACACACCACATGCACGCACCTTGTTGACCATGGCGTTGAAGACAATTCTGCTGAAGCCCGAGTAGAGCACGGCCGTGTCCGCTGTGAAGCCCCCCTGTGAAGCCCCCCTGTGAAGCCCCCCTGTGAATCCCCCCTGTGAATCCCCCCTGTGAAGCCCCCCTGTGAAGCCCCCTCTCCTCCCCACGCATCACAGGCAAACCCCCCCCTCACACCCCCTCATCCGACAGAAACACCCTCTCACCGCACAAGAAGTCCCTTTCACCGCACCACACACCGCACGCACGCACGCACGCACCATGTTGACCATGGCGTTGAAGACGGTTCTGCTGAAGCCCGAGTAGAGCACGGCCGTGTCCACTGTGATGGGAATCCCCCCCCAACCTCCTTCCTCCTCCACTCCACGCCCTCACCGCACAGAGAACCACCCTCTCACCGACTCACCATGTTGACCATGGCGTTGAAGACGATTCTGCTGAAGCCCGAGTAGAGCACGGCCGTGTCCACTGTGAATCCCCCCTGCGTGCCGTTCACCAGCGCTGCTAGGTCAGAGCTGTTGGCCACTGCACTGCTGCCCATGCGGATGCCCTGCACTGGAAGGAACGGGCGAGAGCTGAGAGATAGGCAGAGAGGGTGGGGAGAGGAGGGGGATACGGGAGTGTTATTCACCAGCGCTGCGAGATCCGAGCTGTTACCCACTGCACTGCTGCCCATGCGCATGCCCTGCACTGGTAGGAACGGGCGAGAGCTGATGAGGGAAGAGGGAGAGAGAGCAGGGGAGGGGGGACGGGGAGAAGGGGAAGAAGGGAGATGGGGATAAGCGGAAAAGATGGGAGAGCAAGGGGTGGAAGTGAGGGGAGTGTGGTTCAGATTGTGGTGAGTGTGGTGGGGAGAGCGGGCAGTCCTGGTCATAACAGGAGCGCGGAGAGAGGGACGAGATGGAAGCGAGGGAAGGAAAGAGGATCAAGGGAAGAGCGGGAAGAGAACAGAGAGAAAGTGCTTGCAGCTGCTGCAACGATCATTGTCACCAGAGCACGCCCGGCCGGCCCTCCTTCCATTCCAACTCCCTTTCTTCCACTCCACACGCACACGTTGGGCAGCAGCCCGAGGCGAGTGGAGAGCATCCCTGGAGGCATATCGGCATCGCCCATGAGCAGAGCGCCGCGCTGGTTGCCGCTGTCGAAGCACAGCGAGTAGGCACGCGCCAGGCCTAGAGAGGCGTTCAGCTGTGCGAGCAGGCCGTAGGGGCGAGAGCCGAGCGCCAGCACCCCGTCCACTGATGATCCCCCATAGCCCAGGTCCATGCGCCCACAGCTGATGGGGGGAGGGGGGGGGTGGAGAGGGAGGGATGGGGGGAGGGGACAGGGTGGGAGAACGGAATGGGTGTTGGGAGGTGCGTGACAGGGCCAGCACCCCGTCCACTGATGATCCCCCATAGCCCACATCCATGCGCCCACAGCTGATGGGGGGAGAGAGGGGGCGGGAGAGGTGGGGAGCATTGGAAGGAGTGAGGGAGGAGGAGAGGGGGTGAGAGATCGGAATGGGTGTTGGGAGGTGCGTGAGAGGGACAACTCCCGTTACTGATGACCCCCCATAGCCCACGTCCATGCGGTCAGGAGGAAAAGATGGCAGCAGGGGGCAGCAGGGGGCAGCACGGGGCAGCACGGGGCAGCACGGGGCAGCACGGGGCAGCACGGGGCAGCAGGGGGCAGCAGGGGGCAGCACGGGGCAGTAGGGGGCAGCAGGGGCAGCACGGGGCAGCACGGGGCAGTAGGGGGCAGCAGGGGGCAGCAGGGGGCAGCACGGGGCAGTAGGGGGCAGCAGGGGGCAGCAGGGGGGAGGAGGAGAAATCCAGGACAGAAGCAACTCACCCGAAGTTAATTCGCGCCGCTTGCTCGCTGCAAATGCCACCCTTCACAACCTTGAGCAGAATTCCGTCCTGCACGAGGTCCCCTGCCGGCGCGTAACGCAGGTCGCAGGAGGAGAAGCGGGCAGCAGATGGCAGGAGGGGGCGGCAGGGGGGAGGAGGAGAAATCCAGGACAAAAGCAACTCACCCGAAGTTAATCCTTGCTGCTTGCTCGCTGGCAGCACCACCCTTCACAACCTTGAGCAGCATGCCGTCCTGCACGAGGTCCCCTGCGGGCGCATAGCGCAGGTCACAGGAGGAGTTGGAGCGCGAGAGGTTGCGCGGCAGCGCCATGCACCCGGCTGACGGTAGCTGGAGACATGCTGGAGACGTGCAGTTGAGCAGCGCTGCTGACGTGGAGTTGAGTGTTGTGTAGAATGTGCGTTGCTGGGAGAGTGGAGATGGGGGTGGGTGGGAGGGAGCGAGTTAAGTTTTTTAGCCAACTCAAAAGCCCGTGAGGGAATTGGCCTGCGTGCCGGGGACGTGCAGTTGAGCAGCGCTGCTGATGTGGAGTTGAGTGTCGTGTAGAAGGTGCGTTGCTGGAGGGGTGGAGGGAGGGAGGGAAGGAGGGAGGGGCGGGAGGGAGGGATGGGGGAAGGGAGAGGGGTTGAGGGAGGGATGGAGGGAGGGATTGAGGGAGGGAGGAAAGGGGAGTGTGAGACGGGATTGAGGGGAATGGTTTCAAAGGCTGCCTCCGAATGAGCTCACCTGTTATTGAGGAGCCTCGGGCACTAGCTGACCTTGATGACGGGCGAGTCCTGGGGGCACTTGATGCAGTCGCAGTAGAGCCACGAGAGGCTCACTGCCGTGTCCACCAGTGCCACGTACATCCTGGGCGGCGCCCCTATGAACAGCGGCGTGTAGAAGCGGCTGGGGGGGGAAGGGGAAGGGGAGGAGAGGAGAAGGAGAAGGGGAAGGGGAAATGAGAGGGAAAGGAAGATGAGGGGGGAAAGGGAGGGGGGGGGAGAGGAGGAAGAGGAGGGAGAAGATGGAGAAGATTACAGATTGAGCTCGGAATATGGAAGAAAAGTGGCATGTGTGGGGTGGGAGGAAAGGAAGAAATGGAAGGTCAAGGAAATGGAAGGGAGTGTCGGAAACTGCAATAAGTTTCATCAAGCGGATGTCGGTTGAGGGATGGATGGATAGGGGTCGTCACGCCAAGAGAAACGCTGAGGTGGGTGGGAGGTGTGCGGAAATATGTAGGAAAGAAAAGTTAAAAGAGAGAGAAATAAAGAGAGCTTACCCATATTGGAACGCGCCTGCTGACAGGAGTTGGAGCACAATCATCCCCTGATTCTTCTCCGCAAAGGATGTGTCGCCTGCTTGCTGCAGCACTCGGTGCTGCCAGTCACAAGCACACATGGGCAGGAAAACGTCGAGATGGATTCAGGCAGGGCAATGGCTTCTCCCGCAGGTGTCTTTGCTTGTGTGAACGCAGTGCAGTGCAGTGAAGTGCAGTGCGCAGTGTGTAGTGTGCAGTTCAGTGTAGGTGCACTGGACTGGACTGACGGATGCGTTTCTGAGACTTGCCGCACAACTTGCCTGCGGTCTTGGAGAAAGCTGGGAGCTGATAGCATCAGAGTCTCTGGAAAGTTCACCACACACCCTCACACATCCAAGGCCACACGCTATGGATCCATGGCCGCTTCCAGTGGTTATGGTATGCGTGGCGTGGGCGGGCATACCTGCCTAGCTACTGGTATCAAAACATCAATGCATGGAGGTGCTGTGCGTGAGTCATCTGCTGACCGTATGTCACCTGGTAACTGGAGTTAACGTTGCTGCTTATAACATTGCTGTGGCTGCTGCTGGAGTGAAAGAGCAGTGGAGACCCCATAACAGCCCCCTCCACCTGCTGTTCGTGCTGTCGCCACTGGTGTCGATCCTGCCGCCATTGCTGCCGCCGCTGCTGCTGCATGGTGGTGGCCCATTCTGGCAGGCTGGTTCGAGCAGCAGCTGCAGTGAGAAGCAAGTCGGACTCAAGATGTCCCTGGGGGGACGAAGGGAGGGAGAACATGGGCGGAATGGCAACGTGGGCGGAATGGCAACATGGGCGGAATGGCAACATGGGCGGAATGGCAACATGGGCGGAATGGCAACAAGCAGAATCACCACCAGAATGGTTCCTGAAAGACAGAAAGACAGACACATACACATACACATACACATACACCCAGCAGCAGTGGCAGCAGCAGCAGCAGCAGCAGCAGCAGCAGCAGCAGCAGCAGCAGCAGCAGCAGCAGCAGCAGCAGCAGCAGCAGCAGCAGCAGCAGCAGCAGCAGTAGCAGCAGCAGCAGCAGTAGCAGCAGCAGAAGCGGCAGCGTGACACCAATCCCATTTCAAGGCACGCACACAGACATTCAAGTCTGACCTATGGCTTCAACCCAGGAAATGAATCTCACCAGAGGGTGTGCCAGAGAGCACACACTCGCGATCACACCAGATGGCGCTATGAAGTGCCCTAATGCCAGCCAGGTCAACGGTCCCTGTTGCCAAATCAAGAAACTGCGTCGCTTTGGTGCCATATCAAGGCCCCGGGCGCGTGCCTTGCTACGCACAACGCGAATAGCAGCTATCCGAGCGCGGCTGTGAACAGTATCCTCCCACACCTCACCTCCCACCCACACTCACCGCCTCCCACCCACACTCACCGCCTCCCACCCACACTCACCGCCTCCCACCCACACTCACCGCCTCCCACCCACACTCACGTTCCACCCTGCACCTCCCACGTCCAATCTTTCACCAATGACCAAGTTGAGGTCAAGGGCTTACCTGAGGCATCAACGCTACATAGAGCATCACTCTCACTGATTAGGAACCGAGGAAGAAATCCTGGATATTATACACCATGACCTTGCAGGGTATGCCCCAAAAAACACCCTGAATTTCCAGGACATTTTACATCTAAAGCCAGAAATCTCAGGACAGAATTTATGCTTGACCCTAGACGCGCTTTTCATTAACTGATAGTTCCGCTTCATGGCAGCAGAAATCCCACAGACTGCTAGCGGGCGTATCGCATCGAAACAACGCCCGGTTCCACCTTCACGCCTCCCTCGCTCACCTCCTGGTGTGGGAGAAATTGCGACGAGCAGACATGGAGGATCGCGAGGAGGGCCACGACGTGCGCCGCGATGCGAGCCGCCAAGCGAGCCGCCATGGCTGCACAGGACCGACGAGAGAATCTCCACGCGGGCTGTGCGGGAATCCCCGCACGGATGACGAGAGAGATCGCGCTTGGATCGCGCTCGGTTTGTCCCGCGTATCAGTTTAAGGAGACCGCCGTGGGGGTAGCGTCTGGGTGGCGATGTGGGTTGGATGAAATTAATGCGCACCGTACTAACGCCTCCTGCACTCGCACCAAAGAAGCGGGACGCGAGAGACGAGAGAGTGGGGAGAGAAGAAAGAGAGGGAGAGAGAGGAGCGCGGAAACCTATGCGGGCGAGGAGAGAAAGGTGCGAGGGGGCAGTATTCTGGAGACTTGGACCAGCAGGTTGGAGGTGGAGGAGTATCGCGCATCAATGCGGGTCTTCCTAACGCTGCATTCGCATTCGCACGTGGCGATGACAATGCGGGTGCCGTCAAAGCGGCGGCATTCCTCAACCAGCTCGCGCTGAACCCCAACTAGCAGTGCTGCTCTCGCCAAGGGTCTATCTGAGCTTTCTAGCCTACCAGCGCGTCACGCAAGCTCACCTTTTCCTCGTTTTGCAGCAACGATCGGGCCGGGGTGCTTCGCGTGTGGGAAACGCTTCACCCCTTGGACTCTTTACCAAGCAGGCCGAAGACTGCCTCGAAAAAATGTCGCTAGAATGTGACAATATTTTTTTGTCACACCACTGCCTCAAAACTTCAGGGCCAGGAAAAACCCGAAATTCCACGACTACGGGTTAGTGTGTTGCTCGAATTGTCGGCACAGATGATCAAGATGTCCTTCGAATCAGCTAAGAGCTCCCCGGCAAAACGAGTTAACGAATGCGCCAGATTCAGACAATCGTCGACGAGGAACCAAGTCGTAAACGGGTGAACGGTGCGCTCTCCATACGATTGCCTGGCGACTTGGAAACACGCGAATCTAGCACAAGCTTGTCAATCACTGCGAGCGCTCGACAAAACTAGTTTGTACATCGGTGCAAGTCGCACATTCATCCAGTGCACCGTCCCCTGGATGCTGCTGGTGCTGCTACGGGCGAATGAGCAAAACGTCCCTAACTCAGCAGTGTAACCGTACGGTGCGAAGGGACTGTATTTCTGCGTCGCAGACTCGCAGCCTGCTGAACCAAATTGCGTGCCAAACACGGCCAGAACCACGGCAGGCCCCTAGGTGCTAGCTATTGTCAGAGAATTATTAGCCGCTCTTAACCGAATGGAACTCTTCCGAAACGCAAGTACGTCTCCAACATCCCGTTTTGAACGTGCTGCGAAGCTGATGTCATTACGCGGCGCGTCCCTTCCCTGGCTCCGAAGTTGGATGGTTGTGCGGTGGCCAGGCCAAGCTCTTGTGACCAAACCGCGACACAAATTTGGGCCTGTTGATTGGCTCGTGGATAAGGTTCGGTTGCTATCTCTGCGTTTTCCAACTGGAGTTATGAAATTTGGTTACTGAGTGATTTTTAAGGAATTCACACGAGCTGTTATAGCCCACATCAACTCCACATGGTTTACAATTCATTGATTACAAGCAGCTGTTCATGAAAACGACGACTGACAAAGGAAATTGTCCACAACCAGACTGATTCATCACCTGGTATCTTGCTACACCATACAAACACCTCACCTCAAACACACCATACAATACGAAGAGACAACATCCAATCTCTCTTGCCACATCTGTCTTCTCTAGTTACCTTACAATCAACCGAATGCGTTGAAAAGAGGCGCATTACCAGCCGCACCTCCTGTGGCTCCAGGAGCACCACCACCATACATGCCTGCAAGTGATCCCGCTCCTGTTGCTCCCATGCCCACTCCACCCGGAACACCACCCATCCCAGCAACCCCTGCTCCAGGCACAGCGGCGGCACCAGGCATGGGGAACGCAGCAAAGCCTCCCAATCCGGCAGCACCACCCGCAACCGGAGCAGCACCAAAACCCATGGGCATGGTAGGCACTGCCCCCACACCAGCAGCACCAGGCATCGCCCCTAGACCACCCATTCCTGCCATGCCGAAAGCAGCAGTTGCTGCAGGAGCAGGCACAGGTGTGGTGAGGGTGCTTGCTCCTGCCAACCCCTTGCCCGAACCCTGGCCCATGGCCTTACCCATGGATGCACCTCCCATGCTAAAAGGGCTGGGGCTAGCAGTGGGGGCTGCAGCGGAGGAAGTTGGAGAGACCACTGACTTAGGATCAGACTTGAGTGAAGATGAATCAGTCATAATGCCCAAAGCTGCCAGGCTCTCATCCTTGGCTGTGAGAGGGAGAGGTGGCCAGAATGGCATGACGAGGGCAGGGAACCATGAAATAAGGGCACACAATGGAAGTGGGCAAGCAGCAGAAGGAAACACAAGGTTGAAGTCACAGAATGTGAAACAAAGAGTACAGAAAGTCAATTTGCGTCACAGGTAGAGAGATATGAATCACATGAAGATTGTGCAAAATGGAATGGTCATGAACGTCCACCATTGAGGCATGTTTTGTGGGGCCCAAGCCCCCAATGTCTCTCGCACTCCCCCCTTCATTGCCCTTCATTGCCATTCACAATCACCAGTGGGCCGGAACAGCATCACCATCCCCATCATTGCACAAACATAACCATATAGCGAGCATAACTTGTGTGTTCAACTCACATGACGTAATGGTGAGGTCAATGAGACCAGAGCTGAGAGCATCCGCCCACAGCCCAGGCGACTTGCCTCCCTGCAATGCCGCAGAGGCAGACGGACGGGCAGCAGGAGCAGCAGCAGCAGCTGGGCTAGCACCCATGGCGAAACCGGAACCAGGAGTAGAGAAGGCAGGGGGAGCAGGAGTGGCAGAGACACCAAGCATGGCCGCGAATGGGTCAGCAGAGGCTGCAGTAGCTGCGGGCGCAGGAGCAGGAGCTGCTGCTGAGAAGTCACCAAAGTCATCGGCAACAGGGGCAGAAAAGGCAGGTGCGGGCGCAGGCATGGGGGCGGAAAACGCAGCAAACGGATCCACGGCACTAGCAGCAGCAGCAGGAGCAGGTGCAGCTACTGGTGCTGGCGTGGAGAAGAGGTCGACACCAGCCTGAATCCACCCAAATTAGCATAAGAAGGAGACGGTACGATTGAAGAACCAAAACCCAACGGGATGACCCGGCACGATTAAAGCACGCAAGAAAATCATGGAATGATCGGAAATACGGGAGCGAGGGCAACAGGAGAAGAGTGAGAAGTGGAGGAGC